CGAGCATCGAGAATCAAAAACTGTAAGGTTTTCAAAAAACACTGACAGGACTTTCCTTCCAACCTATATTAATTACCGGCCCAATACATCTGTAATATATCAGCTCACTAACACGGACGTACTGTTCGTCATGGAGGGCTACAGATATGAAAGTGTGATTTCAACATAGCACGTCACCCACATGGTTTTCATGATGAAGAGGGACCGATCGAGGAATGCGACCGACAATTTTTTTTCTAGTGATGGAGTGCGATGGATTAATTTTCAATGGAAAAGTTTTCCAATGATGCAGTGTGATCGACCAAACATGATGAAGAGCCAAACCCTATATATCCAATGTCTCAGTTTAAAATAAAAGGACAGAGTCTCTGTCGTCGATTAATCCCGTTCTGGGATGCGACACGCAGTCTACCTCCTGGTAGAGGGAGTGGGGAGGAGAGGTGTAGATGGCCTGGTTGGCTCGGGTGGGAGCCGATCCGGGATTCGATCCCCGGACCGTGCAAACAGCTCATAAGCAAAGGTTTTGCGAAAGAACGAACGGGCTTTCCTTCTCCCTTGTATTCTTCCACTGAAATTTAACAATGTCATGCGAGGGACGGCAGAGGTATTACCGAGAGAAGCTGCCGCTTACCACGCGCACGGTCCGGAGGTTGAATACTGGGTCGTATCGCACCTCGGACAAGCAAGCCTCAAGGGGACGATAAATCGGTACTAGAATCATTTGTGAGGGTAAATGCATTGTGTAAGCCATATCGCAAGGCACTACGACTATAGATGAAACTATACGCACGTTGTTTTCAAAAGGATTGATGACGACTTCATCCTTTTTGACCTTTATGATGAGAAAACGGAGAAAAATAAGTAAAGAAACCTTATTCAAGAGTTTTTGGCGATTTTCCAAATACTTTTCACGTTCCTCCTTTCGCTTTTCTTCGATCGCTTCCTGGAAATGTTCGACAGCTATTGAAGACACCTTACGGACTTTCAACGAAAAGAGACAGCGTAGCGCGAAAATATAACGAGCTATGAGAAAGAGTATGTATTGACTACCCAGTCCTTTTCTGCTTTCTCCGCCATTTCCTTTTCAGCACGAAATTTCACAGCTCGTTGGGCACGATCCACCGACGGCACTTCCAATAGCACTTCGCCCGGAGTCGGAATGTCTTCTTTCCAACCGGAGACCTTGAACACTAGAAATCTACCAAGCATCGATGTATCGCTGTAAGTGCATTTCTGAAGAGTGAAAAAATACCCGAACTGGTGTACTAGGTCCGGCTTCTTGTAGTTGTTGGCCAGTTTCATTCGTCATCGTCCGTACCCGACACCACGCTCCACCCGCGACAAGGATGGAATTCCGACGTAAAGTCCCACGAGTAACCACATCCACCCGAGTCACCACCACAGTACAAACCTTACCGATTCCTGACAAAAAAGTGGATCAAGATTCAGTTCTTCAATAAACGTGAAAAATACTGAGCGGTCTTCAACTTCGACGCCCAAACTGCACTGCTACATGGCGCTTGAGAAAGGAATGAACTACGTGTCGATTAGCTCACTTTAGTGATATATGCGCGCGCGGCCAGGGAATCAAATCAATATCACTTCCCGCCAGGCCAACCTAAATTTACCGTCCTGTACGATAGAAAGCCAACCAAGTCTTCTATCGTCCGGGGGCGGTAAATTGCCACATTCGTCTGGGCGGATAAGAACACTGATTCGGTCATTGGCTTGTAAGCCATCGCATGAGCACATCGCGTTCAATAAGTAAGTACTCAAAAGGATCCGCAGCTCATTCTTTGTATTGGTAATTACAGCCAGGACACTCCATTTATAGTGAAAAATCCTCAGAAACCCGGACTCCCTCGCTCAACGGGTTCACGAGGAGGAACAGACACCCGACCATCGACCAGATAGAGCATTACAGGGTAAGCAGGGAAGAGTTTCGTAAAAAAAACCTATTCTGTACCAACTAACCATGAACCATCGATGATTCAATGACGACACCTTCAACTAATCCTTTCGGCGTACTTTTTAATCCCATCAAATCGGACTGTATCAGCAGCGCCTCCTGACCAGATGTTGATTAAACGTAGGTACAGGAGCACAATGAAATAAAAGCAGCTTACTTGCAGTGCTGGCAGATTCTTGGATTGTAAAGCAGAAATTTCAACACATTGAACATCTCCACCAAGCTCTTCAACAACAACATGGTGTTCTAATAAGGAGCGCTTAGCTCGCATCTAAATCATTGCATCCAATTAATAAACGTTACA